GCTGGTTCGGGTCAGCTGTCCTGGCCATGCTTCTTTCCAGCCTCTTGTGCCCCTACTTGCTGTCAGAGCGCAAGGAACTGGAAAATCCTTGGCTTAGGATAAGCACTACTCGGCAACAACTAAAACATCACTTATCAACGTTATTGCCACACTAAATCCAAAACAAGCACTGTACCAACTACTAGGAAGAAAATTTATCTTATCTCAGCCAAAACCATGACAGCACCATATAAAGACTATTAAGCAAATTTTGTGTGGGAAAAGCCACAGAAAAAACATTTTGGCAATTTGTCTTGTGCCTTCATTATATGGATAAAGAATTTGGATTAAAATTTGTGTCCGATTTTCCCCGCAGTTGTGCCATTTTCACCAGTCTTTACATGTGTCACGGAGAGGGAAGGAAAGATTCCTTGTTCCCTTTTTCTCCCCTTGATGGTTATAAAAGTGATTTTCAGGATTTAATGACAGAACAAGGATTTACTTTGCTCATTCTTTTCTATCTGACTTCTTCCTTTTTGAATTTTTGAAGTCTTGAAACTTTGGGCGTATAAAGCAAATATGTCTTAAAAGACACTTAAAACTCACTTCAGTTGATCGTAGCACTATGAATTTCGAAAGACTGAAAGTCCTCTGAGTAAAGTTGAGGGGATATTTATTCACTGCCCCTCTGATCTCAGGATGTAAATTAATAGGAAGCTGTCAGGACCCTGTAATGTTTCTCTGCATGGAGTTGGAACCTACTTGTTAAAGAACGTTGGTTCTCCCATGGTGGCTGCAAATGCAGTGTGCCGTGAGCTGGTCGGACCCAACTGCCTGCTCCGACTTGGTGTTCCTGGCAGACCTCATGGGTTCAAGAAGGTCTCTGGTTAGCTGTGCCTCAGAAGGCCTGGGCTCACTTCTCAAATCAGCATCTACCCTCTTGATTTTTAGCTGTAGCGGAAGACTTACTTGCAGCAGTAACATGCTCTTGGCTTATGATATCAACAGTTCTTTTTTTAAAGTGCTGTTGTATGCAGCTGAGCTTTACCTGTAGCCACTTCTCTTACTTTAAGCTGCAGCTGCAGAAGAATCGTTTCAGTTTATGGAGTTAAAGAAGTGAGAGAGAGGAGACATGATCTCGTGCTAATTTTTTTGGAAACTGGTGTTGGGGCCTTTTGTGAAAAGGCCCACCTGGTCTTCACTGTAGGCAGAACCATTCAGATGAAGCTGCATAAATGGTGTAGGCAGAATATTCGCTGGCACTTACTGTGTGAGATCTGCTGAGTTGTTTGCTCTGAGTTGTGTGCTCTGAGAGCTTTCTGCCCTGACATTGGTGTGTCGCTCCTTGAAAAAGAATTAGATAAGGAGCTGTATGCACAATCTGCCAAGAAGCTCTCGGTAGGTAGTGCCAGCTGTTACTATCTATTAAAGTCCTGCAGAACTGAAAGGACAGGTTTACTTTTTGTTGTCTTAACCATTGCCCTCAACAAGGGGCATGCAGACTGCATATTTCCCGTGGGGCACTGGATGTGTACTGCGAAGAAGATCCTGATGGTGGAAAGAAAGGGAGAGCTGATCTCTTTCCACTGCAACCTGTGTTCTGGGTGAATTGCCTCCATGGAGTGACAGATTCCCCAGAAAATTGATGGGCAGTGGAAAGAGAAGAAAAGGCGCTTTGTTCGTTTTCCTCCCGTCGAAGCTATGAATGTGCCAGTCAGTCCAGTAGCAAAATAAACAAGCATTTATTCTGCTCTTCCTTCTTCAGTCAGTCATCTTCTCGTCTGAATTAAGATTTAGTTGTTTAAGAAGAGGAGGCCAGGGGGGGACCTTATCAGTACCTGAAGGGAGTGTGCAAAAAGGATGGAGCTGGGTTGTCCTCCGCAGTACCCAGTGACCGGACCTGAGGCAATGGTCATGAACTGAAGCACAGGAGGTTCCCTCTGAACATCAAGAAACGTTTTTTTTACTGCGAGGGTGCCTGAGCACTGGCACAGGCTACCCAGGGAGGTTGTGGAATGACGATCCTTGGAGACACTCAGAAGCTGTCTGAATGCAGTCCTGGGCAACTGGCTCTAGGTGGCCCTGCTTGAGCAGGAGGATTGACCAGATGACCTGCAGAGGTGCCTTCCAACCTCAGCCACCGTGTGATTCTGTGGCTTTAAATGGCATCTTTCCCAAGTGAGAGGTTCAAAATCAGCTTGTCAGAAATCTTGTTGATAATTGTTCTCTGTGTTTAAACAGGTGAGGACAAGGGAGTTTTGGTCATTGTTAGTGAAAGGAAGGATGGTTCAGAAGCAGAACACGTTGTGTACAAAGCAGGAAGACCCTTCCTCTTCGTATACGAGTGTCTCTGTACAGAGGTGGCTTGGTGGTTGTGGGTTTCTGAAAACAACACAGGTTCCGTTCACTGCTGCAGCTCACGCCCAGGAGTGAATGACACAGCATCTATGTCTTCTGTACTTCTAGTTCTGGTTTGGATAAATAGATTGCAGTGTCCAAGTGCTCCACAAGAAGTGAATAAGGGGAAAGAACCTAAAAGGAACAGAGTGGGGGGAGAGGGGAAGGTGGTGAGGAGTAAGTTAAATAAAAACGCTCAAGGTAAAAGACTTCACGACAAATGACAATAGACACAGCAGAAGGCTGGTGACAGAAGAGCGTGATTGTCTGAGATTGAACCTAGATATAGGATGAACTAAGGTGAATGGAATAAGACAGCGCAATCTTCTACCGGGACTGCCAGAGCAAGAGGAGCACAGAGGAGTTTGGTGAAAATTAGACAACAGAAATTAAAGATCACTGTCTGGCACTTGCCTTGCAGGCTTTTACAAATATTTATTCTCGCTGTGTAAATAAAGAATAAACAAGGGAGGAAGTATTAAGCTCGAGTCAATAAGGTAAGGTCCAAGTAGAAAGAACCACTTCACCTGCGCTGTCTCCTGCACATGTTATATTGGCTCTGAATACTGTATTTCATTAACAATGTTAGAAAATCACATCTGCTAAATATTTTACTGGTAAATATATTAAATGTCTTCAAAACATAATATTCAACCGGCTTCCCATTTAATTTATTTTTTTAAAAATTACATTTTCTGATTACAGTGTAAAGCAGACAATATAATTCAGGCTATGACATAGAGCTACTTTAAAGAATCGAATATTTTGTAGTCACTAGTGGCAAACTCCCCTTTTGCACAGGAGCTTCACAATAGCAGTCAATAAGATTTCCTTGGTAATATTTTCAGCTAAATCAACAGTTACTAATCTTATTGTCATAACAAAATAAATGTGACAGCATTGTCAGAATATGTTCTCTCTTTTTTTTTTTGTTTTTTTATCCTTCCCTCCCTATTTTAACAGAACAACTGTTAATAAAAATGGAATTTACCAGCTGGAACAGGCTGCAAAATGTAAAGCAATTCAGGACAACATTTTGTCATCATCTATCAAGAAGAAAAGGCAAGTATTTGCTGTGCTTTTTGCTTTGTTTGTTTTAAATAGAAGGGTAAAAGATTGTCCTCTTTTACATAATTCTTGATGATATTAACATGTTGCTATACAAGATGAAATTGTTCAACCAATGTTTGCATTTTTTTCTTTCACATGAATCAGGTTTATTTGAGGTGGGATTTATTTATTTTTTTTTAATTGCAAAGTACGTCAACAAGATTTCTCCTACCAGTTAGAAACATTTTATTCCAAGATATTCACAAAAAAGTTAAACAGAATTTGTGAGGCGTAATTTTGTTCTTAAGTGTCTTTTTCCTGACTGGTGAACACTCCTGTTATGAGCAACCTCAATTAATGGATTCTTTTCGGGGTATTCACTAGAGTAAGTATGGAAATACAGTAGTATAAAAACTTGCTAATTAATTGCACTCATTATAATAACTAGTCCACAGGAAACTAATAATTCAATATTAGATATATTGAAAAAACACTCCAAATTAATTTTTGGGTTTCAGCTTGCTGTTCTGCCTTTTCCTGACATGGAAAAAAAAATCTTTTATATCAGTCCTGCTTAAATTCCATTTTTTTTCCCCAACATTTGTGATGAGCAGAGAAATAGAATGAGAAACAAAAGCTCTGCTAAAAATAATTATGTGCCTTTCCCCTTTCAAAGGACTGGAGAAGTCAAATTTTTCTTTAACACAGAAAGAACATTAAATCATGATTTTAAAACTGCTCTTGTCTTTTCTACCTCTTCTTCACATTTTCCTCATGTTTTAAGATCATCTACCTGTTTTTAAGTCATCATATGCCCAGCATTCTGTCTTTACCCTTTCCTTTCTTTCTTTTTTTTAATTTCCTCTCTGTAACCTCTTCTTCCACTGATATTCCACCTCAACATCAGCACTGTCGCTGAAGTTTTAGCTTGTTTCAAAGGTGGTAGACCACTGTTACTGGTGCATTTCTAGTGAAAACTGAAAGAGAGACTAGCAAACAGACATCAGGGAATACAGTTGACTGAAAAATTGAGGGATTGACACCAAGGGAAGGACAACCAGTCGCTGTATTGCCTCCAAAATCCAGTTATAGCAATATAAATGCTGTTATTTATCCTGTGTATTAAGAAGTTATACAGGCTGCAGCAACGCAGATGTGCTCTACATATCTAGACTGTTTTGAAGCTGAGATTGTAGGAGAAACTTCACAAAGTGTGAACGTTTATTCTGTGATTAAAGAGAAAGGAGCTGCACCATTTAATGAGGCAGAAGATGTATTGAGCAGGTAGGAGGAGAAACTGATGCTTTGAACAAAGGAGGGAGAGATTGCTTTGTGCAATGAATATTGAAACTCATTGCCCTTCACTGAGACAAGTTGCAGGGATCTTTGGTGCTTTTTCAGGATGTGACCCCCAGGCATGATGCAGAAATGCTTTATATTACAGGTCTAGACCTTCAGGGACATTGTAGACGCTCTGGTCTGTTAAGCTGAGAGAAAGGGAAAAAAATTACTAGTTTAAAACTTCTCAGATGACTTGATGGTAAGAAACACTGTGTAAGTGGGAAGTTATTATTATAGCAGGTATGAGTGCTAGTAGTGGTAAAAAGCCTGAAATGCTGAATTTTGCTGGCAGTTTTCCATTTTAATTCTGGAGAAAACCCTGTGCACACTCTCATGAGGTTTTTAAAAACCGATAGCTGTTCTGGTAGTAATAAAGTGTTGAAAGGCAAAAGAAATCCTCCTTTTCTCTTGCATTTCCTGCCATTTTTCTCTTTATTTGTTTCTTTCTTGAACATAAGCTGCCAAGTGAGAATACCTATTTTTCTTTTTTTTTCACTCCTGCTATTCAGTTTTTCTTCTCATTCAAATCACTTTTTTCTCCAAGCAGGTATTTGGTTTTAACAAGTAAGCAGTGGGACTGGATCTGTTATGACATTTTACCTATTGTCTCCCTACTAGCTGAACAATTCTGTCCTTGCTGTTGTCCTTTAGATATCTGCCAAAAATTAGAAGATAGTTATACTTTGTCAGTGCCTTGACTGTGCATAATAATTCCATCTTAGCCACTGCAGTTAAGGTAGAAGGTCACTGCATACCCAACAAGTACTATGGGCAAAAAAACCCTTCCAGGTGTTGTTTGTCAGCAAGGCTCACAGAGTATAAGTGATTTATTATAATGCAATTTATTATAATGGTTATGGTGCAGGTCACAGACAAAACCGGGATGAAACGTGCTTCATTCACTATTCTCAACACTGTAGTTATTTTCTTATCCATGTATTTTTGTAGTTCAGTTTACCTGAGCTTTTTTATCTCAATAATAAAATCCTTTTAGCATCAGTGAATATGTCCTGTAAGCACCTGGGTGCTGGTGGAAGTACATGTATTGTCCCAGCTGTTTAAAACAGAGCAGTGAAGAAGAGGACTGTTTGGCTTACAGCAGAGCTGTGAAATGATATTCTGATGGCCTTCTGGCCTGATTCCACTGGAGAAGTGAGCTCCCAAGGCTCCTTTAAAGCAGGAAATGCTAAAATAGCCATCTGAGAGGAGACCAAAGCTTTCTGGGCTGTAAATCCAGCTGCAGCTAACCTCAGAGCTTCACTTTGAGTCTTAAAAAAATTAATCCATGGAAATATTGTCTGTGGTTGAGCAGTTTGTTTCGTGGAAGCCTTACGTGGGTGCAAGCAGATGTGGCGGATGCCTTGCGGAGCTGCTGCTTCGGGAGCTCCTGTCCCCTGGGACGTGCCGCTGGGATGTCTCTGCTGCCCGTGGCCCCGCGCCAGCGCCGGCAGAGATGAGTTCTGATGGTCACGGTGCCTTAGTAAGTCACCAGAGGAGCAAAACTGGATGCAGAGGGTGAGCAGAGGTGTTGTCCTGCTTTGTAAGCGGTGCTTCTCCAGGTGAGCGGGTGAGCTTAAGCACATCTGAGAAAGTGCTTCCAGCCAGCAGACAGCAGTGGGCAGGCAGCCATGTCTTTGCATTGTCAGGGGTGCTCTGTCCCTAGGTGCGGCTTCTGTTCCAGATGTAAGAAGGTCCTTGCAGTTTCTGACAGCGAGTGCTTGTGCTTTGCATGAGGCCTCAGAACCAGCATTATGGATGATTTTTTTCCTTACCAAATGTTTCCCTGTAACTTGCTAATAACTTGTCAGTCCAGGCAATTTCTTTCTGAGCTGATGGTAATTTTTTCTTTTCATTACTGACTCTGATCTTCATCTTATCAATGTCTTTAGGCTAGAATTTGCTTTTTCTGTGTTTTTTTTTCCCCCTGGATAATGATAGCCTAAGTAACTCTTCATGCCCTGTTATCATACTAATTTTTGGATTTTTTCCATAAGTCCCAGCATCTAAGAGTCATTTATTTTTTAGCCTTAAGGAATAAAACTAGATGAGTGATTCAACATCAGCATAGGCTATTTTAGTCCTGTGCTTCAGTCCCATCCTTCCCACACACACACTCCCTGTCCTGTCCTGTGCTGGTACTGACACTTGTCTGACCCCATGGTAAGCCAATTTAGGTAGCAGCTTCAGCAAGAAAGTAGTTCCATTTTCTCTGGCTGCAATTCCGAGGCTCCTAATGCAGCATTCCAGCAGGCAGCTGCCAAAATATGAAGGTCTTGTTCCCAGTTTCTACGCTTCTATTAGTCCTTGCTTATGCTGTCTGTTGCATTCAATGGAATCTTTCCTGATCTGATTTAACACACTAAAGAAGAAAATGTATACGTATTTTTTTATTTTTTCCTTCTGGCCTGTGAAGGCATTTGACAAGTGCAAAAGCTGCAGAAACAAGAGGTGGAGTCAAGTAAGTACCAGCAGCAGCACAAGTGAGAGAACAAATTTGGAGTTGGGCTGGAAGGAGGAGGAATGTGCAACCAGGTCAGGTTGGTGCAGCAATGAAACTAGTTTCACTCCTCTCCCACTTCT